TAGCCAGTAAAACTTAAAATGTTTTACATGAAGGATAGTATGTAAATTAACATAGTAATATAATAAATTACTGCTTAATATTTACAATCGACATACATATGTCAGTTATATATTATATATATATGTTAGTTATATGTTGCATACATTATGTGTGCATTTATATAAATATGATATGGGAAAAGTCTGCAAGACCCTCAGTCATGTTTAATAAAATGTATGTAAATCTCCTTCTTAATCTGAAATAAATTCTGAGAGATGACAGACGACAAGGGAGTGTGAGACTAATGAGATCCAAGGAAGCTTATAAGAAGGCCTAAAAATGACTCTTGGCAAGTATACCTGAAAATCAGCATGTAAAAGAAAAGAAGTAGCCCAAACTTTATTTATAAATGTAATTTTTCATTACTTTAGGCACAGATATTCCAACTGTTATAGGAATCTAAATCTCTTTTGCTCAAAACTCTATAGATCAAAATCAATTTTGAGCTGAGAAACATTTAATTCTTCTAACAAATCTTAAATCTTTTCAGCATATGAAATATTTTTCACACATCAATGTAGAATTAGTATTATACACTTTTTTCATGCAGTAATAAAAAAAGTGGCAGAAGAGGTACTTTCTATTTTAAAACTAAACAAAGTTTTGAGCAAATCTTCAGGTCTTGGAAAACTGTATGCACAGAAAGAATACTGGCATGTGTAAATCCAAGCAATGGAAGCTCCTAAGTTCACTGGCCAATGGAAATTATTGTTGTTTCTGCTCATTTGACTAGTTTTGAGCTAAAATAATCTAAGGCACTATAAGTGTATTCCAAGGTATTTTATTATTATGTGTGTTGATTCAGTTAATATCACACATAGTTTAAATTTTTTTTTCTTAGTTTTGTTTACTTTGGCTAACGAAACTATGTGGAGGAAATATGCGTCTATTCTTTACGGCATAAATAAGGCACTACAAGTACATCTCTAAGATGGGATGATACTATGCTCCAGAATTTTTCTTACATTTCACTTTTTAAAGATGCTTGAAACTAAATCTAGTAGAGGTAATGCTTTGTTTTATAAACAGATATTCTCCCAGAGAATTCAACAATATCTCATCTCTAAAACAAGTAATAAAATGCATAGCTTGTGATGTTTGTTTTCTGATAGGGGTTCTGTAACTTGAAACTTTAGGAATTTCAAAACTATTTTCAAAGCGATATTTAAACTCACATATTTCCAGTCAATTAAAAAAAAAAAAAAAGGGCAGGGGAAAGGATGCTGTTTTTAGATAACACCCTGACAGCATAGTAATAGACAATGTTGCAGATCAACTCATTTTAAGTGTCAACTAGCTAAATAATGTTTTTTTGGTTGCTACATTTATGTGGTGCTTCAGGGAGTAAAATGTAGACTAAAGTTATGAATGTTGCCTGCAGCACTCTGTGAAAAGAACATGGTAATGCTTCAACAGTTTAGGTCCTTTTTCACATTAAATTTTAAACAATGAGGTAAACCAAATGTAAGTCTGTACCCAGACTAAATACTTCGCTGTGGGGCTTTCATTCTCTAGTATTTAATATGAAAAACAAAGCTACTTAGAATCATAGATTGATTTGGTTTGGAAAAGAGCTGTGCACAGACACAGCTGTTTGCACAGAATCTATATGGTTTCATTATGCATATTTAATACCATATGTGGTATTTTCTCCTTTTAATTATGTATTCCCATGACTGCTGTTTCAAAAACCTAACTGGAATAGACATAGTTAATACTCTAAAGTTGTAGGCACCAAAAGGTATATACAGCAACATAAATGTTTAAAGTCTCAACAGTTTTCAGATTATCTCAGATACTGAATTACAATTTCTGAGTGTTTATAGCAACTCAGAATAATTTTCATTCCTTCAGAGCTCAATAGCTGTATCTTGTCAACATACTACTTTGTATGATGTATTATTTAACACAAAAACAGAATAGCATTTAATTTTATACCATTTTGTTCTTATTATTTATATTATTTATTGCACTTGGTCTGTCATATGAAACCTATTAACGTAATAAATATAAATGTAAAAAAGAAATTGAAAAAGAGCAACATTTAAATATAGACAGCCACAAGAAAAGGCTCTAAGAAAAAAAATTACTTATGTTTATGATGGATATCTCCCATTCTGTTCCTCAAGAATAAAACAATTATTTTCTAATTAAGGTAAACTTTTTGGATCTCAAATTCTTGACTTTGATAAATGCCACAGTCTGTAGTTATTCAAAAGGTTACCTTTCATTAAAATAGTGTCTCATTGTTGAACCACTATTTTGTGGGCTATGACCTTTTTCCTTTGACCAACTGTCAAAAAATGTTTTTGTTTCAGACTCAGGGTAGAAGGAAAACACAGTGCATAACATTGAAAAGACTCAGTGAAATTGTTTTGTACATATGAGACTGAAATTGTGGGATTGATGTTTGATTCAAGTTGATATTTATTCAGACTTCCTTGAAAATAAAACTATTTGATATAGTTACAGCAACATTTCAAACTAGGATGAAGTAATTATGTAACTCTTCATTTAAGTTGCAGGAAAGCAAAGAGGTTTATGTTTTAGTATCCTGCCCTTTACTTCAGTCACTTTCATAAATGTATCCTTAAATTACATTGGGTTTTTTTATTGCGAAGAGTGCGAGTGTGTCTTCAAATGTTCTTAAACCTGTTTTCTCTGATTGCCAAATTTTCTCCAGGAGAAGACAATTACATATCCTTGGTTTGACTGGTTGTTAAAGGTTGCTGATAAAGAAATTCTTTATGAAAAGGGAAATCAGAATCCCAAGCTGGGAAAACTCTCTCCTTGAAATAATAAACTGCTAGCACAGTGGTCCAAATACTATCAGGCATACGGTATCTGTCAGTGTCTCTGAAAGGTCCAGTTTGGGTATATATCACAGTAGAAAAACAAAGTGAAATAAGAGTCAGACACTTATATTTGAGGAAAAAAGAAAAAAGTATTTAAATTTGTAGTTTTGATAAGAGTATCCAGTTCTCTCCTTCAGCTTACTTGGAGCCATGGGGGTGCTTAAGCTTCTGCTAGTAATCCTTTCTACCACCATAAACCAGCCTGAGAAAGTGTGAGGAAAGAACTGAGGCTAGTTAAGCAAGAGTAAAGCCCAGCAGGAAACAGGTTTCCCTTTGTGTGGAGATTTAGGCCTTTGCTTTGTCAGTTGTTTTCAGTGCCAAAAGACCCCAAGAACACTTCATATCAGCCACCACCATTAAATGTCACTAATATGCTTCTATTACCCTGACTAATGTAGGTTCTTCCAATGATACTGTGGATCCCATAACTTATTTTTATGAAAACTAACAAAAGGACAGTTCTTTGTCCTCATTTATAAAAGTGTTCTGATGTTGCTTAACTCCAGGAAATGGTGTAAGTTTGCATACAGAGTATTTTCAGTTTTAAATGAAACTGCATTCATTTAGATGAGGATGACTGTAGTTCAGGTTTCCTTGCTTGTATTTGCTGCCACCAGATGTCACTGTGTAGATGAGTAACTGATGACTTTTTCCCTTTTTTAGCTTTTTTTCCCGTTTGATTTAATCAAGTATGATTTCCAAAAAGATGAACCGGTTAGAAATAAGCATGGTTGGTGTGAAAAAGTTAAGAAAGGTAAGTAGGTATTTTAATAGGACATTATGGCCTATCGATTTTAATACAAATACTCCAGACAATGTTTTTAAGGAGCCTTGCTATTGTGTTGCTGTAATATGCCAACATCTACTATTAGCCTTTGCTCTGAGAAAAAGCAATATGTTTTTTGATCCTACATGAAACATCATTAAACATGCCAGTGCTGACACAAGAAGAATTCAGAAGATCCTTGGATATATTCATAGAAGAGCAATGTTAAAAAGTGATTATATGGTATAATGACATCTGTGTTTTTTAAACGAGGCTAACTTAGGGAGATGGTTGCCTAAGAGATCTACAGGAAAGACTGGTGGATTTGAGCAAATGAGAGATTAAGTGTTTCTGACTAAGTGATGTGATTCAGCTTATAAATTAGAATAAATGAAAAAGAGGCTGCCTGATTATAACTGTCATTTGATGTTCAACATACTTATGAAATATCTGGTATCTCTTGATTATACCATTTTTCAAAGTGTTTATTAGATACTTGAAGCATCTCTGGAACTGTGGGAAGGTAGCATCTGAAGCTGAAGTGAGAAAAACTCATATTAAAGATCAGGCAGACAGCTTTAACAGGGAGCTGAAGCAGATTTTTGAAAGGAGTTAGGAGATTCTTTAACAGTTGGTAAACAAAAGTGGACACTTTGAAGAAATTATGGTCCCCCAAACCTGAAATTTTATAGGAAATTGTCTCTAGGGGTGTCATTTTGCATTATTTATATGTAAAATAGATTTTCATAGTTATAATTCTTCTCTCTGATACAAAGTAATGTAACTCTTAAGCTTTGTTGCTCAGAACTTCCTCCCGAAAAAGTTGTTTCATACAATTATTCCCCTTTCAGTGATCACCCTGATACTCTAAATGCAGAACAGGATAATCCTATCCCCATCTCTCTGGTTTCTAAGGAAAAAAAATTGTATTCAAACTTTTATATTTTAATCCAGAAAAAAAACAATGTTGCTATATCACTTTAATGAAAATTCTTAAGAAGTGTTCTCAGAACTTCTGCAAGGAGACTAATAATGTCTGGGTCAAGCACCTACTTTTTGTTAACACTAGTTTTCTGGTAGGAAGCTGATGAAGCTGAGACTCATCATTGAAAATTCAGTGAGGTGTGGAGAGTGGGATATAAAATTAACTGGAATTGTGCACTTTGAGAGGACAGTAAGTGTACTAGTGATCTTACAGTTGACAGATGACAGTTCTGGGAGAAAACTGATGAGTCATCAGGAAGAAATGCAGATGACTGGGAATTTGAGTGGACAATATAGCAAGTAATATTCATGTCAAGTACAGGAGATGTCCAATCATGCCTTAGGTTTATGTTCTTTGAACTTCTCTGTGTAGGTGAGGCTGGTCTTCTCATTTCCAAAGTCAATGCGAAGAATCCCTTCTTTGGTTATGCTGGCAATAAGAAACACACGGAAAAGAAATTACTCTGTGAGGTATTTAAGAAGGGAGATATTTATTTTAACACTGGAGACCTAATGGTTCAAGACCAGGACAATTTTTTATATTTTTGGGACAGGATTGGAGATACTTTCAGGTATAATCATGGTTTCTTTTCACATTTCTTCATTAAAAGCATGCAGAATAGAGTAATACTGATGTATTTGTTTTTGACCAGAAGTGTGCAGTTTATTACTATTGTGCTGTAGTTTATAATGAAGTGGATGATAGGGGCTTAATTTTGTCAAAAGTGTTCCTGTGGATTTGAATAGCTCATTTCCAGAATGCTCTGTAGACATTCCAGGTCTTTGAACACTCCTTTCAATAGCTATGTAACTAGTGATGGTAAGCAAGGAAGTTGGATGTTGACTGTAGCAAAATGTATCAAATAGTAGATACCTTACATTTGATACATTTAGATATATGTCTTTTTGTGAACTATTGTATCAACCTTTCAATGTCCAAAGTACCTGTTAACCAGTAACATTTGAATTGCAACATTGTCTTCTGGTGATCGCAGTAATATACCAGAGTGACAAGTAGGAACAAATTTGAGGTGCTGTTAGTCTGAAATGAATGGAGTGCCTACTAAATTTAATGGGGTTTTAAGAGGAGGTATCCATATGTTTTCCTGGGATTAAATTATTTATTCACATGTTTTAGATGGAAAGGGGAGAATGTTGCAACTACAGAAGTTTCTGATGTCATTGTAATGTTGGACTTCATACAAGAAGCAAACGTGTATGGAGTATCTGTGCCAGGTAAAAGCTTTAGTTGTGTTTTTCTTTCTCCAGGTTAGTTGTTGACTTTCCATAACTTTTTTTGTTGCCTGTTTTAAGCCTGTGAATCACTTCTCATTGAGTCATGTGTTTAATACCTAGCAAAAATGTAGATGCAGATAACAAAAATTCCACCAGATTGTGAATGAGCCAGTGAATCATGAATTTTTCTCTGTATGCAGTGATGTGTATTTTTGAAAAGTTATCCTCATGAATCTGTGACAGCTACATAACCTGAATTAAAGTATAAAGTGTTATTAAATTCGTATACGTGGAAAAGCCAAATATCCACGTGTCTAAATAAGATGTCAACAACTTAAAATAATTGTAAAGGAAAATGTATGAAGACATTCTTCTGTCTTACTTCACTTTTCACTTAGCCTCATAAAATAACTGTAAATAGTTACATTGCAAACCCAAGGACAAAATGAAAAGAATACAAGAGATCAATAAATTATCAAGAAAGAAAATAATTACTAATTAATTTCTTGTTAATAGTTTTTTGTTGTTATTTTTCATGAGATCATATGGACCTGAATCTTATTCATACTGAATTTATTCTAAATATGTATACTAGGTCTGGCTGGGATAGAAGTGAGTTTGGAGATAGGAGTCTGTATGGTGCTGTGCTTTGCATTGGTAGTTAATACAGTGCTGATAACTTTTCAGTCCTTGGCTGTCACTGACCAAAGCTTGCACAGAACCAAGGGTTTCTCCCTGCAGCGAGTAGGCTGGGGATGGGCAAAAACTTGGCAGCAGATGTAGATAGGACAGTGGGCCAAAACTGTCCAAAGGGATATTCCATATCATTACACCATGCTAAGTTATAAAAGCTGGAGGAAAGAAAGCAGATGAGATGTTTGTGGTTGTGATGTTTGTCTTCCCAAACAACCACTGTATGTTCTGAGTAAGGCCCTGCCCTGCAGGAAGTAACTGGAATCTGCCTGATGAGGGGAAATACTGAATGGTGTCCTGGTTTTGCTTTGCTTGTGCGTGTAACTCTTGCTTTCCCTTTTAAACTGTCATTATCTTGATACCTGAGTCTTGCTTTCCTTTCCTTCCTTTCCCATCTCATGGGAGAAGGGAACGAGAGAAGCTATCCAGATGTTTCATTGTTGTCCAGGGTAAATCCACCGCAATTTAATAGAGTTTAAAGTATGAAAAAGGTGTCACTTACCTGTATTTTAAAGCCACACAATGAGAAAGGTCATAGTGAAGAAGACTGTCTGAAAATCAAACTCAACAATATGATAACTGCTTATTTCCTGTGCAACATTTACCTGTTTACCTCCCCAGTTTATGTGACTGCCTTGGTAATTGTGCTTAAAGATAAATGAATCACATTCCTTACAGATTCTGTTGCATTAGCAAAAAGAAAAACAAGCAAACAAACAAAAAAACAAACCCTGAAGGTAAGGTTGGCAGAACATCTCTGCTGTTACTAGCAGCTGATGGTTTAAGTGTGCAGTTATTTTTGAGTACTGAAGTTTATTGCTCTTATGTGTTACCCATTTTGTTCCTTCCCAAAGACCCACAGCATGCTCTGTTTCCAGACAAACCAGTAAGAACTTTTAATCTCTCTCTCAGTTAGCACCATTCAGATCCACAGTTCTGAGAAAATATATTGGCAAGAGGGAGAGAGACTAAAACTGAAGTGAAGACATAATTGGCTAATGCAGGAAAGAGGCTCATCACTTATCTTTGAGAGAGGAATGGTGTTGAAGTTTATCCATATTTACTGACTAATATTGAGTGTAGGACTCCATCTCGTCTTACTTACCAAACTCAGTTTACAGCATTATTTCTTAATTGATCACTTGGGTGATCTCTAAATATATGCAATACCACATAAAATATGACTATGATCTTGCAGTTTTACTGAAACTCAGAAAATGATGTGACTGTCAATTTGTTAATGCACTGCAGTACTTTTTTTGTAAGGCTTATCACAAAAATGTCAGCTTTATTCATGTTTCAAAATTCTCATC